AAGTGTATATGTTTAAATTTTTTGTAAAGAATTTGAAAATGATATAATAAGAATTTATAGTGATAGAGAAACTGTACGAGTCTAGTTTATTAATGAATTTTATACAAGGAATTGTACATGAAACGACTGCACCATACTATCTTGCAATGAATGGTAAAATAGAAAGAAAGAATAGAACTTTTACTGAACATGTTGTTGCAATTATGATGAATTATGATGATGCTCCTCACTGGTGGGGGAAATTTTATTGACTGTTTGCTATGTCCTGAATAGAGTCCCCAAGTCAAAATGTAAGATCTCTCCTTATGAGATATTAAAGAAAAGACAATCAAACTTGTCTTATTTGAGAACTTGGGGTTGTCTGACTTATGTCAGAATTCTGGATCCGGAACAAGTTAAACTCGCTAGTAGAGCATATGAATGTTTTTTTTATTCGGTATGCAGCAAACAGTAAAGCATATAGGTTTTATGACCTAAAGGCAAAAGTGATCATAGAATCAACTGATGTTGAATTTTATGAAGACAAATTTCCTTTCAAATTGAGAAATAGTGGGGGCACACAATTGAGTCACATTCATGTGATAAGAAGCACAGAAAGCAACGGCAATGTAGAAACAGAACTTCAACGAAGTAAACGAGTAAGAGTTGCTAAAGACTATAGGCCTGATTATGCGGCTTATAATGTAGAAGAAGATCCAATGAATCTTCAAGAAGCCTTGTCATCTCTGGATGTTTAGTTATGGCAAGAAGCTATCAATGATGAGATAGAATCTCTAGAATCTAACAAGACCCGACACTTAGTAGACTTGCCTCCTGGTTGCAAACCAATCAGTTGTAAATAGATCTTGAAAAGGAAACTAAAACCTGATGGAACTATTGATAAATACAAGGCTCGCCTTGTTGCCAAGGGTTTTAGACAAAGAGAAAATATAGATTTTTCGACACCTTTTCTCCTGTCACTAGAATTACATCCATTAGGGTACTTATTTCAATTACTGCTATTTATAACTTAATAGTACACTAAATGGATGTTAAAATAGTTTTTTTTAAATGATGACTTAGAAGAAGAAATCTATATGGAACAACCGGAAGGGTTTGTGATCTATGGATAAGAAAACAAGGTCTGTAAGTTAGATAAGTCTTTGTGTGGGCTAAAACAAGCTCCAAAGCAATGGCATGTAAAGTTTGATAACTTAATGATATCGAATGTGTACAAAGTGAATGAAAGTGACAAATACATTTATTACAAATTTGAGAATTGTATTTGCACTATCATATGTCTATATGTAGACGATCTACTCATATTTGGATCAAACACTTAGGCCATTAATTATATGAAATCATTGTTGTGCAACAACTTTGATATGAAAGATCTCAGAGAAGTGAGTGTGATTCTTGGTATCAAGATCACAAAATCCGAGCAAGGAATTTCTTTGGATCAATCACAATATGTGAAAAAGATCTTAAAGAAATATAATTACTTTGACAGTAAACCTGTGAGCACACCAAATGATCCAAGCGTGAAGCTGTTTAAGAACACTGGTGAAAGTGTTAGACAAACAAAACATGCGAGCATCATTGGAAGTCTTAGGTATTCCATTGATTGTACCAAACCTGACATTGCATATGTCGTGGGATTGTTGTGCGGGTTTACTAGTAGACCGAGTAATGAATATTGACAAGCTATTGAGCGAGTCATACGGTACCTTAAAAGGAACATGAATCTCGGTTTACATTATCAGAGATTTCCTATTGTATCTGAAGGATACAATGATGAAGATTGGAATACCTTATCGGTTGATTCCAAAGAAACTAATGGCTATGTATTCAACATAGCTAGAGGAGTTGTATCTTGGAAATCAAAGAAACATACTATCCTGAGAATATAGCATTAGCGACTGCTAGTGAAGAAGCAAGTTGGTTAAGATGCTTACTGACTGAGATTCCCTTATGGGAAAAACATATGTCAGTTATGTTGATCCACTGCGATAGTACCGCGGCTATTGCAAAAATTGAGAACTGTTATTATAATGGTAAAAGACGTCAAATAAGAAGAAAGCACAACACTGTTAGAGATTGTATCTCTAAAGGAGCTGTAAGAGTGGATCATGTACGCACTGATGAAAATTTAGCAGATCCTTTGACGAAAGGATTAGCTAGAGAGAAAGTCTATAATACATCATATAAGATGGGACTAATGCCTATAGGAAAATGATTTGCTCATGATGGTAACCCGACCTAAATGACTGGAGATCCCAAGAAATAGGTTCAATGGGTAATAACAAGTTATGAGTAATATGAGATGATCATGCAAGTAAAGCATGAATCCTGAAGTAATAAGAGGATGAGATAATAGAAACTCTTAATGAGATCTATACTCTGTATGAGGGAGTACCTAGGCTACAGGAGTACTCTTGATAGACTCACCTATGTGATTGTGGAACTTAGGCCGGTTCCTATGGAATTTCGAGGCAGAATTCCTAGAGCCTTCATTAAACTGGAATACACGTGCAGGGCCATTAAAGCACAGGCTATTAGAATACACCTTAAGAAAAGGTTATGTGCGGGTTTGATGTCTGAGATAGAGTTCAAGACATTTGTGTCACTCTTGTTGAATTGGAATCCTACTTGCTATGCAAAGGTTCAAGTCGTAGACACCTTTGTTTATGCACAATCTTAAAAACGTTTGACGTTACTTCTAAAATCAATTTTTTAAATTAAAGTGGGAGATTGTTGGAACATGTCCATGTTTCAATATGTTGAATTTAAAAATTTATCAAGTCCCACATTGTTAGAATATTTTTTTGGTCGAAAAAACCATTTAGTCCCACATTGCTCATGTGAGAAATATTAACTATCTTACTTCACTATATAAGGAGTGCACATGTTTCATTCCAAATCACACCAAAAACTATTCTATTAGTTTTTCCTTCTTCACTCTCATAACTCTGCGTCTCTCGAATTGTCGAAGTGCCATCTTCTTCCCCTTTCTTCCTACTCGTTGAATTTTCCGAGTATTTTCTTGAATTCTCTTTAGAGAATAATGTTAATTTCTCCTCATTTGAGTTGAGAAATTTTCAAGTTTAGTCTTTTGGATTCTCTTTGGAGAATCATTTGAATTTCTCTCTGTTGGAGAAATTATTATGAGTGGTCAAATGACCATTATTAATTTCTCTTTGGAGAATTATTTGAGTTTCTCTTTGTTTGAGAAATTATTATGACTGATCTTTGTACCAGATACTATGAGTGGTGTTAATACCATATTTGAATGGTCTTGTACCATCAGAGGGTGTATTTCTAGACCGATTATCTATCATGCAAGTAGTAATCGTACAATATAGAACTGGGCTGTTTTATCCTAGAGGCGGCGCGGTAGTTCGACTGCTTTGCATAATTTTGAGCAGTACCGTGAAACGTCTTAAAGAGAGCGACCTAGTCCGCAACTCAACCTAATAATTTCTTCGGTGGCAAATATTTTAAAATCCAAAATACAACACTATTTATCCTCTTAGATCAACTGAATAGTTTTTAATGCTTGTAGAGTTGTAAAAATACTTCCTAAAAGTATACATTATTATTTAGTGTCCTTTTAAGAAACAAAAGATGATTGATATTATAGGACCGCCAGTATACTCATTAATTTATTGTACTGTTGGATTAAAAATATCTATCAAATATGGAGAATTAGGTTGTAATGGGTATATCCATGCATGAAGTTGTCTACATACAAAATAAATGTAGCGAAACTTTTCAACTAATTTAGGGATCCCACATAAACATTTGTTTGTTATTTTTGTTGATACTAAATTTTAAATTTGATAGCTGTGTCATGTCCTTTCTCTTTTGAAAAATTATTTACTAATCTAACACATGATATTTCTGCACTCCTTTAACTTCTAGATCACTTTCCTATGTTAGGCCTCTTATGTTGTTAAAATTTTAAACTCCAGTAAAATTTCACTTTAGTTCATTTGCAAAAACATGGTTTTGTCAACTAAAAATAAATAAATTTAAAACGGTTCTCTCAAAATGAAAACAATTGAATTTTGAACCAACCCAATACCTCTAACTTGGATGAAGGTCATGCAAAAGGAAATGAAAACAATAAATTAAACAAATATTTTCAAGTGTTTTGAATGGTGCATCTAGTACATCTCACAACACTCTCAAACAAAAATATAAGAGAACAAAGGAAATCAAATACACATTTAAAGTGTTTTTGACCCGATACATCTTATAACAAATAACTTGAATCTTTTATATAGTTTTGGACTCCATCTTATTTTACAAAACTAAGTAATGAGAGACTTTTTCAATATGTATTTTTTCAACCAACCCTAACAATTTTCACCTTGACTGAAAACAATAAATTATTTTTCATTGTCTTCACCATTAATCATACTCTACTATAAAGAGTATAAAGAATATAGTCACTTTGAAGTTACACTAATCCAAAAAATTTCACTTGATCTTCACAGACAATCATAGTTTAAAAACTATCATACTCCACCTAAAGAAGAATATACTTCACTTGAAGAAAAATCACTTCAAGAATTTTCACAACTCAAAAATAGGTTGAAAACTTATATATGTTCACTATGCCAAAAAAGCTATTTAATAACGTTTTTTTTTATTGTTTTATTTTTTATAACGCTTAAAAGTGCTATTAACCACGCCGCCATTTTAAATATTTTCATTTAATAACATTTTAAAAGTGCTATTTTATCTTGCCACAAACCCTTAGCAAGATAAAATATGTCTCAAGCAGACAAGCATAACAACAAACATGCAAACACAAAATTTTAAAACAAACGACAATTAAGACCGCCATTGTACGAATTTTGCAAAAGAGAGGCCCCAGACCCCACATCCAACAAAATAATTTTGTGGTCGCAAGAACCACAGCTGTTCAAGAATTACATAAATGGACAAACGTCCGAAAACAAGATTACAAAATCACGGCATGCAGGCCGGAGCATACTAAGAAAACTATCAAAACA